TGAGTATATCCTACAAGAGCTTTACCGCTGGTCAGTAATTAAGTTCCGCTCATTCCTTACTGTATCTGTATTGTACAATCAGTTATTCTTGTAACTTGTGCTCTTGTAACTTGTCTGTTACCAGCTATATCGACATTATGATGGCTATTTATATTTGCGTAAATTTATTTGTAGTTGGTTGTCTGTATGCCTGACACTCATCACTTCCGTACCAAATAGTCTTTCGATTCAATGTCTAGATTAACAGTATCAAAAAGTTTTGAGCCTAGCTTACTTGGAACTGAAATATTGTCCTAAGATTTAATAATTTTTCGAAATAGTGCCCTAGAAGTTCAATATGATTGTTCCATCGCTTCTCCAGGCCAGTAGTCCCTGTGTTATAGAAGATAAAATCCTGTTTTATCATCCAAAACTGGCTCCCACAGGAGATATTGCTTGGATGAGATCAAGCGATATCTACAGTGTAGATATCACTGCAACGAAATTACATCACAATGCTTTGCAGACAATTATGACATCACTGGTTACCATGACGTCACAATCAAATGATATCACTAATGGCTCTGCTACTGAAGGTGTTAGCAGTACTTTTTACACTTAAGACATTGCTAATTACTGTCTACAAATTGAAAAAGTTGGAAGAATGATGTTGGATGATAAATAAAATCTCACCCTCGTGTCTTTTGACATCAAATATATCAACACTCGTTGATAAAAGTGGCAAAAATCTTCGGCAAGCCTCGGAATTTTTCCCCTATTATCAACTCGTGTTGATATATTTGATATCAAAAGACACTCGGGTGAGATTCTCTATTTGTCTTCCTGGTTTTGAGAGACCCGAAACGGTTCCATTCCGTGCTCTCGGAATCATATTGATAGATGCATCGCCTGTCATTAGCCAAAAATGAAAACCCTGTGGGTTGCAAATATATCTTGTTGCAATGACAGAAATTGTTAGTGAACTTTACTAACTTAGTGAATTTCCCTGTCCACTCAGACACTTACATGTTTGGATATTTTACTGACCACTTTGTAAATATTTGCAAATTAGACAAGTAAATGGCCTATCATACTAGTCTAAAACTTACTGATCAGTAAGTAGAGCTTCTTCCCGAGTGCCTGTTGTATATTAGAGCCATTATCAAAAAGCGGTTCGACCGGCACCATGCCATCAATATCGAAACACAGATAAGCTTGCAAATATCTCGGCAATCATTAATGATTTTACGTACGATTCACTAACCTATTCTCACCTCCTTCTCCTCAAAATTGCGTTTTATGTTCAGTGAAAACATGGCATCTCCCTCAAACATGTAAGTATCCATATATATCTTTACATTTATTTTTTGATACATTTTGTTTTCAGTAATTTGTTTCGTATTTTGTTTTTCAGTGAGGGGCTGTATGTGGTGGGTTCGCCCTCAAACCTCTTGAGCCCCACGACAACTATCTCGCCCACGCCTTGGTTTATTGATATGATTCTGGGTGAAACGTGAGTGCTCTGAATCGTATTTAAAACTATCCTATGTTTTAATAAGTTTTATATTATCTGTCCGCTTTTTATTCTATAAAAAGACATTGTTCATAGGAGTGTGATTGAATGAATACAGTAGTTGGAAATATATTATTGTTTTTCACATTACATCCCTGTCACCGAAGTTTGTACGTTATAGGGCCCCATACGTTACCCTCCCCATCCCAAATATATATGTGTGTGTGCGTGTGCGCGCGTGTGTGTGTGTGTGTGTGTGTGTGTGTGTAATAAAATGTATTATACTTTATATGCATATTATGTTCTGACAGTATATTTGTATTACAGTTGTAATTCGTTATAACCCTAGTTCGTTATAAGCATATATACAGCATATATACAAAATAATGGCCGGGACTAAAAATAAATTGGTTATATCGGTCTGTTCGTTAAAAGCGTGTTCGTTATAAACGTAGTTTATTGTAGTTGAAACAAAGAAAGATTATAGAGACAGGGCAGAACAGTACAGAACAGAATAGCACGTTATTTCTCACAGGCCGAGTGCATCGGCATATCAGGTGCGATATACTTTGCGATATAACAGAGGTTAACCAGGAGTTTTTTACAATTTTCACTAAAATGTTAACACATTCACATAATTTCTTTTGCATAGATATCATATGGCAGTTAAAAAATTGGTGTATATTCTTGGGAGCTAGGGGCGGTCGGGTAGCCTAGTGGTTAGAGCGTTCGCTCGTCGCGCCGAAGACCCGGGTTCGATTCCCGACATGGGTACAATGTGTGAAGCCCATTTCTGGTGTCCCCCGCCATGATATTGCTGGAATATTGCGGTGTAAAACCTCACTCACTCTTGGGAGCTAGCTTAAAATGATCTAGTTTTTGATATACATATGCCTTCTGCTAATTCTCTCAAAAGCGTCACCAAACGATGAAGACAACCGAGTGATTCTCCAAGTACCGCCGACTGTGAAGACATTAACATGAGATCTTAGTTCTCGCTATCGCTAAACAGAGATCTGAGGACATCCCATTACGGTCACGTCAGAACGACCTTTCATCCGACCAATCAGAGCGTCGCTTACATATCATTAAAGTGACAGTCGGAGTGTGTTTTCTAATAATCTAACCACAAAAACGTTAAAACGGTGTATTCCGAACGACGGTTACGGCCCGTACGACTGATTTCGTCAAAATTATCGTCTACCTCTTGCTTCCGTGGGATATACATTTGAACGGAGGAGGCGTTGCACTGTACGTGGGATTCACTCCCATACAATCTCAACCATATATTAGACATTCCGGAATGTTCGTTTGTTCAGTTTTCAAAATTGTAATCGTCAAAATATTTTTCAAGCATAGTCTGAAATGAAAGTCGCCAGATTGAAACGAGTGGCGTAAAGTTCGAGAAAGTTTCTTTCTAATTGTCGATGTTGACTTCTTGTTAGTCATTTCAGTGGTCGGCTAAAGTTCGCGAAGGTCGTTCTGACGTGACCCGTAATGGGATGTCCTTAGATCTTTGTTTAGCGGCAGCGAGAACTTAGATCTGATTTTAATGAGATTAACTGTAAAGAGAGACTGGTGCCATTCAGAGGCGGTAAGAAGGACAGTGAAACCAACAGCTGATTGCTAAAGGGAACTATCTCGTGATGCCTTAAGTGTACGAGTATAGGTGAATAACATACAGGATTTTAACTGTGACCACAAGGTAAGAACAACTATTTTATACAAAGTTAGCCATTTATATTTTACAGTACTGAGGAAGTTGTTTCAAAAATGACCTTTTTCATAGTTCAAAAGTATGCAAACATGACATGATTAAACGTTATCATGGTTATAGGGCCCTGGTTTTTAGAAATAAATGTTATCCCCTCTGAATATCATACAACTATAACTAATTTTGTAAATGGTGGGTAAAAATAAATAAATGAATACAACATTAGTCAAGTTCGTTAGTAGTCTTTCTTACCTTTTTTATATAAAGTAAATAGTTTGATTTTCCCTCGCTCAATAGCATCCAGCTTCAGATATAAAATATGTGATTACTTTAACAGTCAATATACCCTAATACAAAGGTCTTTTTGAATCCTCCTTTATATAAAAAAATACAGTTTAGACTGATAATGTATATTTAACCTATATCATTCTGCTATGATATCATATCTCATATCTAATTATCTAACTGTGCATATAATACACAACTATTATTAGAAGGGAAAATCCCACAATACTATATTTAAATTTACCCAAAACAGGCCTCACTGCTAGCAAGCCATGATTGAGGTTAAGTGCCACAATTAACAATAAGATTGAATAACTTCAGGTATACAGGCATCATTACCATGTTACCTTGACACTCGTCTTAATGTACTCAGTGAATATTCCATCAAGTCCACAAGCTGTGTTATAACGTAACCTGTTACGGCTGAGGTTATGTCATCTTCACTAATATGCCAATCTAACAATTTACACCTTTTGACTGAAACAAATCTAGGCTTACATCCTCTTCTTTATAATCATTCGATTCTGTAAAATAGTCCTACAATTGTTCGACACTGGAACCTTAAAGGAACTTAGTTGTATACACAGATGTTCAACAAAACACATGTCCAGATGCTGGATGAAGACATCGCTCTTCTCAGGCTCCCACTTTGTTGCTTCGCTTTCTTCCGTGGAGGTTACTGTCAACGTCGTGACAGTATAATTAATGACACACATAAATGAAAACTGTAAAGTGACCAATGAATATGAGTGAGTGAGTGAGTGAGTGAGTAAGGTTTTACGCCGCTTTTAGCAATATTCCAGCAATATCACGGCGAGGGACACCAGAAATGGGCTTCACACATTGTACCCATGTCGGGAACCGAACCCGGGTCTTCGGCGTGACGAGCGAACGCTTTAACCACTGGGCTACCCGACCGCCCCCCAATGAATATCAGATAATGCAAGGTCAAACCCATGTGCCGTAAAACCTATAAAAAGGGAAACAGCTCAGCTCTTGCTGAACAGGAGGCTTCAATGTTTTACAGGTTGGGGTCCCAGTGTTTTTGTCTTCGTCTACTCGTCCTTTGGCTGTATATATACCAGTAGCTTTACATATAACTAACAGTTTATGTTTATAAGAACTGGCTGTATATAGACCGGTAGTTTTACATATATCTGACAGTTTATATCTATAAGAATTGGCTGTGGTGTACCTTGAACTCCCGTCTATACCAACATCCAACTGGATTAAAACACCATGATCCCTTCATGTTAATCCTCTGTGTATAGGACCATGAGCAATTTACTTGCTTAATGGGGTGATTGAATGAAATCAGATTCTACCAAGGCGTCACAGTTGTCAGCAAGGCACACCTGATACACTCCCTATGGCGGGCGACTGAATAGCAAGCCAGGTATCTGTCCATCCCGTGTTGATGTACTTGTAGTGCACATTGGAGAGTCTGTAAATGTAAAATGTACTCCATCTACTGTTACTTTATCAGATCCGCCCACACAACAGACAGTGTCAGGTCCCTCCATGTCCACACACAGTATAGGTCGTACGTGCTGCGACGGAAATAGACCTGGGAAACAGGACGTCGTTCAGCTTTCTCCTGCCTTGAAGCGTCATCCTGGTGTTCGGGAACGGTTCAGCAATCATGGGGTCATACACTCTGATTGTCAGTTTATACTCTTCATCATTCCGCCCCCCAAAAAGTACACACCCCAGTAGGAGAATGTTCTGACTAGGTGAGAAGGAGATAGCACTTTTCTCAGGTGGCATAAACAAAAAGGAGTGAGACGAAAACCTATTCACCACACTTCCATAGGATGCTACATGCTTCTCCTGAATGATATTGTGGGCCTTTCTCTGTGAATGTTTAAACGGAGATATGTCAACATTTGTTTCTGTAGCTCTGTCCATTATTCGTACTCTCTCACTGTCTGTCAGCACACCAGATCGGCCTACATCCTTCACCAGGTACTCCAGGGGGATGCTGGTAAACCGGATCTCATACCTCATATCTCCCAGGAGTCTCCGTATGTCCTCAGGCGTGTCACTCACACCTTCCTCTCGGCATCTTTCCCTTGCCCAGGACAGCATAGCATCAAATACGTCTTCCTCTTTCAAATCTAAATTCTCTGACCTGACAAACTGATCCACACAATCAGGGCAAAGATTCACAAACCCGACTGACTTGGTGACCCTCGTCCCCCCTTCAGTAAGAATCTTCAGCGCGTTCTGTTCGAGGTCCAGCTCTCCGTAGACATGACACTGTTCCAGGATCTGGCAGACATTGTCTTCTGACAGGGATTGTTCCAGGAACGTTACACACAGATTGAACAATGCGTCTTGAGAATATTTCCTAGAGGTGTACATGAGTCCTGTGACTGTTTCACCATTGATAGTGGCCTTGTCTGTGTAAACATACCTACAATGATATATTGAAACAATGTTACGTTGTTGAAAACAAAGATCAAAAGGTATCTACAGTACTATTTAAGATGAATGGATTAATATTACGTTAATGGTACAATGGATTAATTAAGATTTTATCAGAGTTCTCAAACTTTTTCTCAAATCCAAATAGCACAATCATGTTGGGTTGTCTGTTGTAAATGTTCACCTGTTCAGACATGTATAGTTGTAGTTACTTGTAGAGGTTAACCCATGTAATATTCCTTCTTCTCACTTGTCAGGTCAGCATCAAATACAACAAACACAGCTATATGCTACCCACAAAACTCCCTTGATGAAGGACATGCAGACGTAGTTCTACTGATCTGATATTGCTTTCGTAACTACAAATCCATACACTTGAAATTTAACTTGAATATGGAATTACACCTTTCTTTCTGCCGAGCGACTTCGAGACTTGGTATAAAATCAGCATTGATTATGGAAGGTGCTATTTTCTCTGGGTAATGGATGATTTGTAAAACCGCCAGATCAATCTCACCTCAAGAACTCTTTGAAGATGTCTGCCTCAATGTCGGGGATGGTTACCTCCCCTGTCTCCGCCAGGGGGCCACAGAACATAGCTTCGAAGACACAGCTGCGACTGACAAGAACGTAGCGGTGAGCTCGGACCACCTGTTTCTCTGCCCCCACACGGAAGGTGACGTCACTGAAGTCTTCCGTGTCGAGCATGTGGAGATTACACTCTGTGACAGTCTTCTTTGACTGCCAGTTGTCGACATATCCAGATCCTCGGCTTGTATCGGACATCCTATAGCGTGGAACTGACAACAAAAGGACACATAGATGATAACCATGAGTTGATGGTTAAAGCACTTGTCATATAAATGTAATGTGTTAAGTGCAGTGTATAATGCTATTATATACAACTGAGTCTTAAAACTCACTTGGCTTAAATCACGTTTGAGTGTTGCTAAGCAACAATGTGTTCATTCCATAACCTACACAATCAACTATACTTGACAAGGGCTTTGGTTGCAGGAGACTTAGTGTGGGAGACATGTTTGCGTATGTTATGGAACTGATCCACGAGAGTGACACTGTAAGATACACCTCACATTGGAATGAATGTAGTAAAAAAAGGCTTATTGCATTCAATGTCTGCGAAATGAAAGTTCTTCTGTCTTTCTGACACCATGGGACCAACTTCAGCCATAGTGTACAGGGACCGCCTCCGTGGTCTTGTGGTAGAGCGTCCGCCCGGAGAGCGGAAGGTCCAGGGTTCGATCCCGGGCCGCGTCATACAAAAAGACGTTAAAAGATTGTACTTGTTGTTACCCTGTCTGGCGCTCGGCATTAAGGGGCTAAAACAAGGACTGGTCGGCTCGGAGTCAGTATACTGTGTCTGAGTGGGGTATTTATGTTAAACTGCGGCATGGTATCTCAGTGAGCTAGCACTATAAACCGGCATCAGTCCGGACTAGTACAAGCAGCCAGCCACACACACACACACACGTGCATGCACGTCGCTATATAAGTGCAATAATCTTGGACGCGACGTTAAACCCAATTTCACCTCACCTCACATAATGTACAGATTCCTGCCACACAGTCCACAGTCTGGATCCTCGTGTTGCTGTCCTCGGGCGTGGGACAATGCTACTTTTGAGTCCCCACTGACTGAGAAGGCACAAGGACTCTTATGTGGACATTACAGCAAGAAACTAGATTTAATACTTCCCTCAGCCACATTTAGCAGGCTGCCACCAAAGAGAAGAAAATATTGCAACGTCGACAGAAGTATGGTCAGTTAACAACATGAACTTATGGCCGGCAGAAAACTCCAGCGGAGTATGCCGATGTTGTATCCCACTTTGTTGGCCTGTAAACGTGTTTGAAGATGTTTGTACATGTCAATCAATAAACTAATGAACTTAATCATTGTCTTGTACATTACAAACCATTCCCAATAATTGATTTTCAGATTATGTTTCGTACAATGTTTGAAGGTGCATGTAGACGTTAACCATTCAATATGTTAACTGAACCAATAACCATCTTCATATAATTGATTCTAATATAACGTGTTTTTTTATATTGTTGTTGCAATGTATGTTAGCGTCTATTTTATCTGTGTATGTGTATTGTATAAATGTGTATATGAATAAACGTATGCCAGACTGTAGTTAATCCCCTTATTGTCTCCCATTTACCCAGAACAACAGGTGAGGCCACAGGGAGGTCCCCGTGTACAGTGCAGATTACGTATAATCTTTTCCATCACCTTGATGAACATGTTCATACATGCGTGAGGGTCGACAGGTAGACATATGGTGAGGGGTCCCCGTGAAAGTACTTATAACGTATAATCTTTTCCATCCCCTTGATGTACATGTTCATACATGCGTGAGGGTCGACAGGTAGACATATGGTGAGGGGTCCCCGTGAAAGTACTTATAACGTATAATCTTTTCCATCACCTTGATGAACATGTTCATACATGCGTGAGGGTCGACAGGTACACATATGGTGAGGGGTCCCCGTGAAAGTACTTATAACGTATAATCTTTTCCATCACCTTGATGAACATGTTCATACATGCGTGAGGGTCGACAAGTAACAATATGGCGGAGGTCCCCCACGTGCTGGATAAAATCTACAACTATCCAGTGACTCAGTATCGTACTTCCGTGCGCGATATACGCATATGTCGGAAAGTGCACATTAAAACCCCAAATAAGTAAGTACGTAAGTATCGTACTTCACATCTTAGTCAGAACAATCGCATTTCACCAATGTCACAGTCAATCCTTTTCAATATGGAAAAACACAAATATGCTGGATAAAGACTTTGACACATTGACACAAATATTTACAAGTCAAGTCAATTACACCAATTTTAACAGTTACTTGTTTCATGTTGACCAAGATGATCAAAGGGACATAACTCTGCACTGTCTAATACAAAAAACGTGGATTTTGTGTGGAGTGTGTGTGTGTGTGTGTGTGTGTGTGTGTGTGTGTGTGTGTGTGTGTGTGTGTGTGTAATATGTTGAAGTCATTATAAGTCACCAAGAATAACATCATATTTATTTATTAACAGACACAAAATACCTATTGGCAGGGATATCATTGTATTAGCTGTGAGGACGGGGTGGCAACTACAGGATCTAAAACATAATTGTGGATCTGATTTAACGTCCGGGGATACACGCGTTTTCAGCATTCACACACGCACGCACACACGTACGCAATAACCAATAAGGGTTGTCGGGTAACTACTTGTTAAATGGAACTAAGAACCTCATGTGTGATATACATCTGAAACAGCAGACACCATGACAATCTGATTACTAGCCAAAATCAAATTTAATATATCGGACATAGTTGACATTCAATTCACTTTGAACCAGCATAGGGTTTCTTCTTAGCTGTCCTGATGTGATCTTGGTAAGCAAAGGGACACAACTCTGTAAGACTAACACTCAACACAAGCTGTGGTTCATTCACAAAAACACGAGAACGGCCGATCACTGCCGAACACATGCAACTAGGGCTGTTATTGGACGCATAATGGTTCTGAATATAGCGGGAAGATGAACCGCGCCTGCTGCCGAATAGTTCCTCCTAAAGCTGTGTTACATTGTATTGATACGACTGACTTGCTGTTTAGACAGAAGCCGTGACATGTCCCACATATACATGTAAGGTTCATTGTGACCCGTGTCGATATTGTCAGACACTATTTCCTGACGCACATGATACACACGACTTATCAATATGAACAGTTTATATCTTACCTAGGCTGGCTTCAGAGTGTTAACTTTGCAAGGAGATATGTTTGTGCATACATGCTAGCTTTTTCGTGCATGGCCTGGTTGATAAGTAGGACGGGAAGAGTTGCCTCCCTTCGCAACAGCGACCCATCATTGTTCGCCAAACTGTGTGTACAAAAACAGTTGAACCCAGCTTGCTTTCTTAGGACGGACACAGGCTGGTTTTCCTAAGAAATAAAACAAAGAAAATTTTACAGAATATACCAGGAGAATAGTGTGTGGCCTCATGTTTACAAATTAAAATGTTTTGCAGTCCAAGTGACGCGCGCGCGCGCGCGCGCGCGTGTGTGTGTGTGTGTGTGCGTGCGTGCGTGCGTGCGTGCGTGCGTGCGTGCGTTCGTGTGTCTGTCTGCTCGTACTAGTCCGGACTAATGCCGATTTTATAGTGCTATAAATCATTTAACATGAATAGCCCACTCAGACCCAGTTTACCGACTCCGAGCCGAAGAACCCTTGTTTTAGACCCCTGATGCCGAGCGCCAGACATGGTAACAACAAATATCAACTTTTGGTATGACGCGGCCGAGGATCGAACCCCAGAGCTTCCGCTCTCCGGGTGGACGCTCTACCACTAGACCACGGAGGCGGTCATCAAGCATAGGCAAGTGTTTGTTGTCAGTGCAGACAGCTCTGTCAGTGGGACTGGAAATGTGGGCCTGCTAGGAATACATTTGGGTGTGTATGTGCACCGTTTGTACAACTGTCAAATGTTTTGTGATGCAGTGTAACGTTTGAGCAATTTGAAAAACTGCGCCATTTGCCAGCACACGTGAACCGATAAATACCCTTAGGTTACATGACTTTCTTCAGGTCTCCTCTCGGGGCGGTGGGTAGCCAAGTGGTTAAAGCGTTCGCTCGTCACGCCGAAGACCCGGGTTCGATTCCCCACATTGGTACAAAGCGTGAAGCCCATTGCTGGTGTCCCCCGACGTGTTGCTGCTTGAATATTGCTAACAGCGGCGTAAAACCATACTCACTCACTCACTCTCCAGGTCTCTTCATATCTTCCTCCAGACAGAGGCTGCAAGTAGCCGAGCACGTCCGTATCTTATCACCTGTTTGAAAATTTCAGGCCCATTTTTCTTTGAAAAGTAGATATCATTTTACCATTTTAATACACAAATATAGCCACAAAACCCTTTCCATATTCATATGAAATATCCACTAAATGAAGAGTTCATTATACGTTTCCGATCTTTGGTGTTTCCGAGGTGTAAATCCAATCAGCACTGTCAGCAATTATAAGTTTATAGATAAATCCCTTTTAAAAGAAGAATTTATTGGACAATATTTCAGCACATCTTTTACATTTGTGTTGAAAATCCTTTCAACTTTAATTCATACGTTATTTTATTCTGCCTCATTTGACATCACGCCTATAGTACGAGACTTAAATGAGCACCGGGTGTCTGGACTCATTGACCTGGTTAACTGTGTGTCATCCTGCCCTGATGGCGTTGATTGTTGCCCTTTCTCTAAGTCACCAGTCTGCCCTCAGCCGACTCGAGTACAGACAGGTCATCGTGAATGTAATGTTGCCGGGTGCCATGTGAAAAACATACACTCACTCAGTCACTCTTATGTTACTGGTGTGTTTTTATCATTGAAATATATATTCGAACAATAATTGTAATGCTGTATAGGGCTTCCATACACATTTACTCAAGAACAGCTGAGATGTTTGATGAAAGTGCACGTCCCTTCCGCCTCTTAGTGTTCAGTCTATGTCTAGGACGTCATGTGTTAGTCCAGGTCATGAATATGTATGAGGGCGTCTATTTTTAGATACGGACTCCTGTGCCTTATCATTGGTTTTCAGTGGTCCATTCATATAATATTCACCACTACTTTGGCATTTTTTGTCCAGTGGTGACTGTTTCGGCGTATGGTCGAGACTGGTTAATCTCTGACGTTGACGTGATATAAAACAATGTTACTGAATGTTTGAAATCAAACGTGCGCTATTGGAATACGATGACATGCAATCAACCAAGTCACCGAGCCTGTCACATTCAGTCGTCTCTTTAGACACTCATAGGTTGTTGGGGAGATGTATACTTACTTGAAATCCGCACGTTTTTTACTTAGGTTGTCATTATATGTACAACAAAGTCTCATGTTTTAAATCTCTCTTGTTGTCAAATATGACTAGGCTTTGTGTTTAGGTTGGCATATTTGTAGAACCATGTGGTGCTTATCCAGATATATTGTAAACTTACCTGCTGAAAATCACACTTAGTATAGGAGGCTTGCTTCATACTGTTTGACCCATTGGCAAGAAGTTCGCGTTGATTTCAATTACAGAGAATACAACAAACACTATGTAGATGTAAGTTGGTCAGGATATTCCCAGGTTTATAGGGTTTAACTTCACTTGAGTGAGTGAGTGAGTGAGTGAGTGAGTGACTGTTGTTTTATGCCTCAAGGAGCATTATTCCTGTTATATCACCGTGGCCAGTATAAATGCAAGTCTGGCTGCGGCCCCCTCATGGTACTGTACACAATCAGCCATACAGAGCACTCGATCCCTGTGGTAGATGTCTGACAACGATCACAGGAAACAGGTCCAATACTGCCGTCGTCAATATTTGTGTGTCAAGGAAACGTATGGGAGAAAACATGTTGATTTCCCTTCAATGTCTACCGGTACTGAATCGTGTCAGGATCCTTCAGAAATATGTCGACCTTGAGATAGTGGTTTTGTGACTGAATGAGTGGCGGCGTGCCTGAGTGAGTTAGTGCACGCCGGGTTTGACGTTTATACCCCCATAAACGCAAAAAAACCCATAATAAAGTCACGTCCTATAAGTAGGTAAATCAACAATAATAACTTATAATAATAAAAGTTAATACACAAAAAACTGTAGACAGCAATACGAATCAGTGACATCGTTTGACCCGTGAAGATCTGGTGAGAATTGCTCTTCATCAACCATTGCTTACGCTTCTGTGCTTGTTGTACGAGGCGACTAACGGAGTCAGGTGGTCAAACCCGCTGACTTGGTTGATGCATGTCATGGTATCCATATTGCGTAGATCGAAGCTTATGACGTCAATAGCCTGATTGCCTGGTTCAGAATCGACTATTTACAGATCGCTGTCATATTGCTGAGTGCGGCTTTAAACAACAAACAAACAAACATACAAACAGAGACATCGTTGATCGCAATAATGCAATACAAGCCCCTCCCTTTCTCTTAAAGGCCAATCTGGAAACAGGAGTCCGTCAGTGAGTGAGTGTGAGTGAGTATGGTTTTACGCCGCTTTTAGCAATATTCCAGCAATATCACGGCGGGGGACACCAGAAATGGGCTTCACACATTGTACCCATGTCGGGAATCGAACCCGGGTCTTCGGCGTGTCGAGCGAACGCTTTAACCACTAGGCTACCCGACCGCCCCTAGTCCGTCAGTGGGAGTGTCCCATGTTTTAAATTTGTGGAGACATAGTTCGAAAGAAGGTTTGCTTGGTAAGCCCATCAAATGCCACGTAAGCAAATTATTTATAACTGTATACAGAGGGAAGGAACACAACAGAGCGAATTCAGGCACAAACGGAGATTGGGATACCCATATACATGAATACGGCACAGGTACATAATGCATGCCTTGAAAAGAAGCTCACTTACATCGGCCTCCTCTATTCTCTGCAAAGGCAACATCGATGTATCTGATCTAACAGACAGCAAATGTGTCCACTCAAAGAAAACTGAGAAGGGTTAATCACACAGCGTAAAATAAACTATATGTCTTTGTTGATCAAGAAACTTGTTGGAAGATGTTTAACTTACCACAGTTGCAATACATTTACAACTGAGGCCGTGCAGTGAACTGTCCCAGTTTATTGACAAGCAGTACACACACAGGATCACACAGCACTATTATGATATATCTAATTCAGATGTATATCCAGGAAGAAAATGATTAATAAAACAGGGACCAGGAAATCTATTACCTCAGCTATTGTGAGTGACTTGGGGAAAACTTACGTCACGACCTTCTTGCACTGAAGCATCAGTCACGAATCCAAACCACGAACAAAATAGCAAACTGCAGACGTCATTATGTTGGAAGCAGTGCAGGCAAATACTATAGGAAGAATGAGCTTAGTGTTTAGGAACGTTAAGGAACATTCATTTCAAAATATATATCAACATTCATCTCTCTGACATGTTTTCAGAAACATGGAAGTAATGTCAATTGGATTTTATCAATTGACTCACATGTAACGTAGTCTGCATTATGGGTGAGCTTAATATATATGGTACATTGTAAGCCAGTTGGATTTCATGTGATTATACCTTTTAAACAGATGTTCAACAAAACACATGTCCAGATGCTGGATGAAGATATCGCTCTTACTTAGGCTCCTACTTTGTTGTTTCGCTTTCTTCCGTGGAAGTTACTCTCAACATCGTGTTCGTGTCCAGTGCTCTCAGTATAATTAATGACACACATAAATGAAAACTGTAACGTGACCAATGAATATCAGATGATGCAAGGTCAAACCCATGTCCCACAATACTATAGTTAAATTAACCCAAAACAGGCCTCACTGCTAGCAAGCCATGATTCAGGTTAAGTACCACAATTTACGAAAAGATTAAATAACTTCAGGTATACAGGCATCTTTACCTTGACACTAGACTTGATGTACTCAGTGAATATTCCATCAAGTCCACAAGCTGTGTTATAACGTAACCTGTTACGGCTGAGGTTATGTCATCTTCACCAATATGCCAATCTAACAATTTACACCTTTTGACTGAAACAAATCTAGGCTTACATCCTCTTCTTTATAATCATTCGATTCTGTAAAAGAGTCCTACAATTGTTCGACACTGGAACCTTAAAGGAACTTAGTTGTTTACACAGATGTTCAACAAAACACATGTCTAGATGCTGGATGAAGATATCGCTCTTCTCAGGCTCCTACTTTGTTGCTTTGCTTTCTTCCGTGGAGGTTACTGTCAACGTCGTGACAGTATAATTAATGACACACATAAATGAAAACTGTAAAGTGACCAATGAATATCAGAAAATACAAGGTCAAACTCACGTGCCGTAAAACCTATAAAAAGGGAAACAGCTCTGCTCTTGCTGAACAGAAGGCTGCAATGTTTTACAGGTTGGGGTCCCAATGTTCTTGTCTTCGTCTACTCGTCCAATGGCTGTATATAGACCAGTAGCTTTACATATAACTAACAGTTTATGTTTATAAGAACTGGCTGTATATAGACCGGTAGTTTTACATATATCTGACAGTTTATATCTATAAGACTTGGCTGTGGTGTACCTTGAACTCCCGTCTATACCCACGTCCAACTGGATTAAAACACCATGATCCCTTCACGTTAATCCTCTGTGTATAGAAATATGAGCAATTTACTTGCTTAATGGGGGTGATTGAATGAAATCAGATTCTACCACAGCGTCACAGCAAGGCACACCTGATACACTCCCTATGACGGGAGACTGAATATCAAGCCAGGTATCTGTCCCCTAGTTGTTGATGTGTCTGTAGTTGACATTGGAGAGTCTGTAAATGTGAACTGTACTCCATCTACTGTTACTGTATCCTTTCCTCCCACACCACAGATGGTGTGAGGTCCCTCCATGTTCACACACAGAGTATAGGTCGCACCTGCTGTGAGGGACAGATATCTCGGAAACAGGACGTCATTCAAAATCTTCCTGCCATTAAGCGTCATCCTGGTGTTCTGGAACAGTTCATCAATCAGCACGTTATTGGCGTCATACACTCTGATTGTCAGTTTATATGTATCATCATTTCTACTATACAGTTGACAACCTTGTAGGAAAATGCTCTGATTAGGTGAGAAGGCGATAGCATTATCCCCATTAGCCGACATCGAAAAGGGACTCAAAGAGGAAAACCTATTGACACTTGCACAGGATGCCTTCCGTTGCCCGTGAATAATACTGTCAGCCTTTCTATGTGAATGTTTAAACGGAGATATGTCAACATTTGAGTCCATAGCTCTGTCCATTATTCGTAATCTCTCATCCCCTGTCAGCACACCTGATCTCCCTACAACCTTCACCAGATACTCCAGGGGGATGCTGGTAAACCGGATCTCATACCTCATATCTCCCATGAGTCTCCGTATGTTCTCAGGCGTGTCACTCCCACCTTCCTTCCGGCATCTTTCCTTTGTCCAGGACAGCACTGCGTCAAATACGTCTTCCTCTTTCAAATATAAACCGTCTGACCTAACAAACTTATTCATACAATCGGAGCAAAGTTTCACAAACCCGGGAGATTGGATGACTTTCTTCCCTCCTTGTGTAAGAAGCTTCAACGCCTTCTGTTTCAGGTCCAGCTCCCCGTAACCATGACACTCCTCCAGGATCTGGCAGACATTGTCTTCTGACAGGGACTGTTCCAGGAACGTTACACACAGATTGAACAATGCATCCAGAGAAAATTTCCTGGAGGTGTACATTAGTCCTGTGACTGTTTCAGCATTGATAGTGGCCTTGTCTGTGTACACATACCTACAATAAAATATTGGAACAATGTTGAGATTGCTTAAAACAAAGGTTTGGTGAGATTTATCAGCTAGGTCAAATCGAAATAGCACAATCATGTTGGGTTGTCTGTTGTAAATGTTCACTTGTTCAGACATGTATAGTTGTAGTTACTTGTAGAAGTTAACCCATGTAATATTCCTTCTTCTCACTTTTCAGGTCAGCATCATATACAACAAATAGTGCTATGCTTCCCCGCAGAACCAACTTGATGAAAGACATGCGGACATAGTATAGAGTAGGAGCCATCTGTCTGCCCAGCGACTTCCAGACATTGGTATAAACTCAGTATTGATTACTAAAGGTGTTATCTTCATTGGATAATGGATGATTTGTAAAACCTCACCTTAAGAACTCTTTGAAGATGTCTGCCTCAATGTCAGAGATGATTACCTCCCCTGTCTCCGCCAGGGGGCCACAGAACATGGCATGGAAGACACAGCTGCGACTGACAAGAACGTAGCGGTGAGCTCGGACCACCTGTTTCTCTGACCCAACAAGGAAGGTGACGTCACTTAAGTCTTCCGTGTCGAGCATGCGCAAATTACACTCTGTGACAGTCTTCCCAGCCTGCCAGTTGTCCACATATCCAGATCCTCGGCTTGTATCGGACATCCTATAGCGTGGAACTGACAACAAAAGGACACATAGATGATAACCATGAGTTGATGGTTAAAGCACTTGTCATATAAATGTAATGTGTTAAGTGCAGTGTATAATGCTATTATATACAACTGAGTCTTAAAACTCACTTGGCTTAAATCACGTTTGAGTATTGCTAGGCAATAAGTGTTCATTTGATAACCTACACAATCAACTATACTTGACAAGGGCTTTGGTTGCAGTGGCCTTAGTGTGGGAGACATGTTTGCGTATGTTATGGAACTGATCCACGAGAGTGACACTGTAAGATACACCTCACATTGGAATGCATGTAGTAAATAAAAGCCTTATTGCATTCAATGTCTGCGAAATGAGAGTTCTTCTGTCTTTCTGACACCATGGAACCAACTTCAGCCATAGTGTACAGGGACCGCCTCCGTGGTCTTGTGGTAGAGCGTCCGCCCGGAGAGCGGAAGGTCCAGGGTTCGATCCCGGGCCGCGTCATACAAAAAGACGTTAAAAGATTGTACTTGTTGTTACCCTGTCTGGCGCTCGGCATTAAGGGGCTAAAACAAGGACTGGTCGGCTCGGAGTCAGTATACTGTGTCTGAGTGGGGTATTTATGTTAAACTGCGGCATGGTATCTCAGTGAGCTAGCACTATAAACCGGCATCAGTCCGGACTAGTACAAGCAGCCAGCCACACACACACATACACACACACACACACACATGTGCATGCACGTCGCTATATAAGTGCAATAATCTTGGACGCGACGTTAAACCCAATTTCACCTCACCTCACATAATGTACAGATTCCTGCCACACAGTCCACAGTCTGGATCCTCGTGTTGCTGTGCTCGGGCGTGGGACAATGCTACTATTGAGTCCCTACTGACTGAGAAGGCACAGAGACTCTTATGTGGACATTACAGCAAGAAACTAGATTTAATACTTCCCTCAGCCACATTTAGCAGGCTGCCACCAAAGAGAAGAAAATATTGCAACGTCGACAGAAGTATGGTCAGTGAACAACATGAACTTATGGCCGGCAGAAAACTCCAGCGGAGTATGCCGATGTGGTATCCCACTTTGTTGGCCTGTAAACGTGTTTGAAGATGTTTGTACATGTCAATCAATAAACTAATGAACTTAATCATTGTCTTGTACAGTACAAACCATTCCCAATAATTGATTTTCAGATTATGTTTCGTACAATGTTTGAAGGTGCATGTAGACGTTAACCATTCAATATGTTAACTGAACCAATAACCATCTTCATATAATTGATTCTAATATAACGTGTTTTTTTATATTGTTGTTGCAATGTATGTTAGCGTCTATTTTATCTGTGTAAGTGTATTGTATAAATGTGTATATGAATAAACGTATGCCAGACTCTAGTTAATCCCCTTATTGTCTCCCATTTACCATGGCTGACTGTCCTTTTACCCAGAACAATAGGTGATGCCACAGTGAGGTGTCCCCGTGTACAGTGCATATTACGTATAATCTTTTCCATCCCCTTGATGAACATGTTCATACATGCGTGAGGGTCAACAGGTAGATATATGGTGAGGGGTCCCCGTGAAAGTACTTATAACGTATAATCTTTTCCATCACCTTGATGAACATGTTCATACATGCGTGAGGGTCGACAGGTAGACATATGGTGAGGGGTCCCCGTGAAAGTACTTATAACGTATAATCTTTTCCATCCCCTTGATGAACATGTTCATACATGCGTGAGGGTCAACAGGTAGACATATGGTGAGGGGTCCCCGTGAAAGTACTTATAACGTATAATCTTTTCCATCCCCTTGATGAACATGTTCATACATGCGTGAGGGTCGACAGGTAGACATATGGTGAGGGGTCCCCGTGAAAGTACTTATAACGTATAATCTTTTCCATCCCCTTGATGAACATGTTCATACATGCGTGAGGGTCGACAGGTAGACATATGGTGAGGGGTCCCCGTGAAAGTACTTATAACGTATAATCTTTTCCATCCCCTTGATGAACATGTTCATACATGCGTGAGGGTCGACAGGTACACATATGGTGAGGGGTCCCCGTGTACAGTGCATATTACGTATAATCTTTTCCATCACCTTGATGAACATGTTCATACATGCGTGAGGGTCGACAGGTACACATATGGTGAGGGGTCCCCGTGTACAGTGCATATTACGTATAATCTTTTCCATCACCTTGATGTACATGTTCATACATGCGTGAGGGGGTACACATATGGTGAGGGGTCCCCGTGAAAGTACTTATAACGTATAATCTTTTCCATCACCTTGATGAACATGTTCATACATGCGTGAGGGTCGACAGGTACACATATGGTGAGGGGTCCCCGTGAAAGTACTTATAACGTATAATCTTTTCCATCACCTTGATGTACATGTTCATACATGCGTGAGGGGGTACACATATGGTGAGGGGTCCCCGTGTACAGTGCATATTACGTATAATCTTTTCCATCACCTTGATGTACATGTTCATACATGCGTGAGGGTCGACAGGTACACATATGGTGAGGGGTCCCCGTGAAAGTACTTATAACGTATAATCTTTTCCATCACCTTGATGTACATGTTCATACATGCGTGAGGGGGTACACATATGGTGAGGGGTCCCCGTGTACAGTGCATATTACGTATAATCTTTTCCATCACCTTGATGTACATGTTCATACATGCGTGAGGGTCGACAAGTAAAAATATGGCGGAGGTCCCCCACGTGCTGGATCAAATCTACAACTATCCAGTGACTCAGTATCGTACTTCCGTGCGCGAAATACGCATATGTCGGAAAGTGCACGTTAAAACCCAAATAAGTAAGTACGTAAGTATCGTACTTCACATCTTAGTCAGAACAATCGCATTTCACCAATGTCACAGTCAATACTTTTCAATATGGAAAAACACAAATATGCTGGATAAAGACTTTGACACATTGACACAAATATTTACAAGTCAAGTCAATTACACCAATTTTAACAGTTACTTGTTTCATGTTGACCAAGATGATCAAAGGGACATAACTCTGCACTGTCTAATACAAAAGACGTTGATTTTGTGTGGAGTGTGTGTGTGTGTGTGTGTAATATGTTGAAGTCATTATAAGTCACCAAGAATAACATCATATTTAATTATTAACAGACACAAAATACCTATTGGCAGGGATATCATTGTATTAGCTGTGAGGACGGGGTGGCAACTACAGGATCTAAAACATAATTGTGGATCTGATTTAACGTCCGGGGATACACGCGTTTTCAGCATTCACACACGCACACACACACGTACGCAATACCAATAAGAGTTGTCGGGTAACTACTTGTTAAATGGAACTAAGTATCTCATGTGTGATATACATCTGAAACAGCAGACACCATGACAATCTGATTACTAGCCAAAATCAAATTTAATATATCGGACATAATTGGCGCTAGTTGACATTCAATTCACTTTGAACCAGCATAGGGTTTCTTCTAAGCTGTCCTGATGTGATCTTTGTAAGCAAAGGGACACAACTCTGTAAGACTAACACTCAACACAAGCTGTGGTTCATTCACAAAAACACGAGAACGGCCGATCACTGCCGAACACATGCAACTAGTGCTGTTATTGGACGCATAATGGTTCTGAATATAGCGGGAAGATGAACCGCGCCTGCTGCCGAATAGTTCCTCCTAAAGCTGTGTTACACTGTATTGATACGACTGACTTGCTGTTTAGACAGAAGCCGTGACATGTCCCACATATACATGTAAGGTTCATTGTGACCCGTGTCGATATTGTCAGACACTATTTCCTGCCGCACATGATACACGCGACTTATCAATATGAACAGTTTATATCTTACCTAGGCTGGCTTCAGAGTGTTAACTTTGCAAGGAGATATGTTTGTGCATACATCCTAGCTTTTTCATGCATGGCCTGGTTGATAAGTAGGACGGAAAGAGTTGCCTCCCTTTGCAACAGCGACCCCATCATTGTTCGCCAAACCAGAGACCATATATCGGTATATGGTCTCTGGCCAAACTGTGTGTACAAAAACAGTTGAACCCAGCTTGCTTTCTTAGGACGGACACAGGCTGGTTTTCCTAAGAAATAAAACAAAGAAAATTTTACAGAATATACCAGGAGAATAGTGTGTGTCCTCATGTTTACAATTTAAAATGTTTTGCAGTCCAAGTGGCTGTCTGTGTGTGTGTGTGTGTGTGTGTGTGTGTGTGTGTGTGTGTGTGTGTGTGTGCGTGTGTCTGTCTGCTCGTACTAGTCCGGACTAGTGCCGATTTTATAGTGCTATAAATCATTTAACATGAATAGCCCACTCAGACACAGTATACCAACTCCGAGCCGAAGAACCCTTGTTTTAGACCCCTGATGCCGAGCGCCAGACGTGGTAACAACAAATATCAACTTTTGGTTTGACGCGCCCGGGAATCGAACCTCCGGCCTTCCGCTCTCCGGGTGGACGCTCTACCACTAGACCACGGAGGCGGTCATCAAGCATAGGCAAGTATTTGTTGTCAGTGCAGACAGCTCTGTCAGTGGGACTGGAAATGTGGGCCTGCTAGGAATACATTTGGGTGTGTATGTGCACCGTTTGTTAAACTGTCAAATGTTTTGTGATGCAGTGTAACGTTTGAGCAATGGAAAAACTGCGCCATTTGCCAGCACACGTGAACCGATAAATACCGTTAGGTTACATGACTGGCTTCAGGTCTCCTCTCGGAGCGTAGGGGTAGTCAAGTGGTTAAAGCGTTCGCTCGTCACGCCGAAGACCCGGGTTCGATTCCCCACATTGGTACAAAGCGTGAAGCCCATTGCTGGTGTCCCCCGCCGTGTTGCTGCTTGAATATTGCTAACAGCGGCGTAAAACCATACTCACTCACTCACTCTCCAGGTCTCTTCATATCTTTCTTCAGACAGAGGCTGCAAGTAGCCGAGCACGTCCGTATCTTATCACCTGCTTGAAAATTTCAGGCCCGTTTTTCTTTGAAAAGTAGATATCATTTTACCATTTTAATACACAAATATAGCCACAAAACCCTTTCCATAATCATATGAAATATCCACTAAATGAAGAGTTCATTATACGTTTCCGATCTTTGGTGTTTCAGAGGTGTAAATGCAATCAGCACTGTCATCAATTATAAGTTTATAGATAAATCCCTTTTAAAAGAAGAATTTATTGGACACATTATTTCAGCACATCTTTTACATTTGTGTTGAAAATCCTTTCAACTTTAATTCATACGTTATTTTATTCTACCTCATTTGACATCACGCCTATAGTACGAGACTTAAATGAGCACCGGGTGTCTGGACTCATTGACCTGGTTAACTGTGGGTCATCCTGCCCTGATGGCGTTGATCGTTGCCCTACCTCTAAGTCACCAGTCTGCCCTGAGCCGACTCGAGTACAGACAGGTCATCGTGAATGTAATGTTGCCGGGTGCCATGTGAAAAACATACACTCACTCAGTCACTCTTATGTTACTGGTGTGTTTTTATCATTGAAAAATATATTCCAACACTAATTGTAATGCTGTATATAGGACTTTCATACACATTCACTCAAGAACAGCTGAGATGTTTGATGAAAGTGCACGTCGCTTCCGCCTCTTAGTGTTCAGTCTATGTGTCTAGGATGTCATCAGGGTTCGAAATACCTGCCTGCCCGACCGTCCGAGACGGGTTGATTTCAACTCGGGCTGCCAGATTTTCAACCCCCCCTGCCCGACAGTCGGGTTATATTTCATATGTGAAAATATTCTAAATATTACCCGATGATAAGCATTAATTCACATGTTAAGATGAATGATAAAATATAACCAAAAGGAAAACCCATTAGCTTTTAGACAACCTAAAATTTAGGCCCTATTTAGGAATAAGGATATTTACATGATGTATTCTAGGATATTAAATACAAATCTGACGTAAAAAGTGTTTGCTATTTCTTTTCTTGCATTACTTCATGTTCAATGAATTCAATTTAAAGTTTTAATTAAATTATCCTGAGAAACATATGATTATAGTGGGCAGGCAGGTTTTGGTCAGGGCTGGCAAGTATTTGAGCTAGCCAGTCCTTAGAGTATCATACCCTGGTGTCATGTGTTAGTCCTTTTCGTGAACACCTTATCATGGGTTTTCAGTGGTCCATTCATATAATATTCACCGCTACTTTGGCATGTTTGTCCAGTGGTGACTGTTTCGTCGTATAGTCGAGACTGGTTAATCTCTGACGTTGACGTTATATATTACAATGTTACTGAATGTTTGAAATCAAACGTGCGCTATTGGAATACGATGACATGCGATCAACCAAGTCACCGAGCCTGTCACATTCAGTCGCCTCTTTAGACACTCACAGGTTAGGGAGATATACACTTACTTGAAATCCGCACGTTTTTTACTTAGGTTATCAGTATATGTACAACAAAGTCTCATGTTTTAAATCTCTCTTGTTTTTCTGGGTCAAATATGACTAGGCTTTGTGTTTAGGTTGGCTTATTTGTAGAACTCTGTTGTGAGCTATTGCAAACTTCACCTGCGTCCATGGAAAATCACACTTAGGATATGAGACTTGCTTCATACTGGTTGACCCATTGGCAAGAAGTTCACGTTTATTTAAATTACAGAGAATACAACAAACACTTTCAACATTGACAATATGTAGATGTAAGTTGGTCAGTAGATTCCCATGTTGATGGGGTTTACCATCACTTGAGTGAGTGAGTGAGTGAGTGAGTGAGTGAGTGTTGTTTTATGCCTCAGGCAGCATTATTCCTGGTATATCACCGTGGCCAGTACACATTCGAGCTGTTGCTGCGGCCTCCTCAGGGTACTGTACACCATCAGCTGAGTCAGCCATGCTGAGCACTCGATCACTGTGGTAGATGTCTGACAACGATCACAGGACACGGGTCCTATACTACCGTCGTCAATATTTGTGTGTCAGGGAAACGTATGGGAGAAAGCATGTTCACTTCAAAAATCACACTGATACTTTTTAAATGAAAACAATTCCATCTTTGGATTTCTGTCTATTTTATTCTGTTTCGAGAGTGCTGCATGAGTATTTCATGTCATTTCATCTCATTTCATCTCATTCATTTCATGTCATTTCATGTCATTTCATGTCATTTCATGATTGACTGCAAATAAAGCAAAAATACCATTACTCTAGATTGTAAATACAAATAAACTATACTCAAAAACATTTCTTTGCAAAAGAACATTGATTTTAGGACACATTAGGAAATTTACGGTTATTACAAAATGTTATTTACCAGAAGCAATGTAATTAATTCAAATACATAATTTCACAATTATACATCCAAAACTAAAGATATTAGTAAAAATGCTGTTGTATTTACCTAGTTGTTGAGCGCGCACCAGGTTTGACGTTTATACCTCTATAAACGCAAAAAAACATATTCAAGCCACGTCTAGTTAATCAACAATTATAACTCATAATAATCATAGTTAATACACCAAAAAACTGTAGACAGCAATAGAAATCAGTGACATCGTTTGACTCGTGAAGATCTGGTGAGAATTTGTCTTCATCAACCAATGCTTGCCGTAAGACGCTACTGTGCTTGTTGTAGAGGCGACTAAAGGAGTCAGGGTTTTACCCGCTCACTTGGTTGATGCATGTCATAATAACCCAATTCCGTAGATCGAAGCTTATGCAATATATTTACAACTTCTGCAATATATTTACAACTAAGACCGTGCAGGGAACTGTACATGTCCAAGTTTATTGACAAGCAGTGCGCACACACATGAGCTTACATCAAGGATCACACAACACTAGCTTATTATGATATACAGTAAACTACGGTTATAACGAACTCAAAGGGACCACTAATTTTAGTTCGTTATAACCGTAGTTCGTTATAAGCATATATACAGCATATCTACAGCAAATTTTAGGGACAAAAAAGTAAGTTCGTTATATCCGTCAGTTCGTTATAAGCGTGTTCGTTATAACCGTAGTTTACTGTATACAATTAACATGTATACCGAGGAAGAAAATGATTCATAAAACAGGGACCAGGAAATTGATTACCACAGCAGTTGTGAGTGACTTGGAGAAGTCTTTATCACGACCTTCTTGCACTAAAGCATCAGTCACGAATGCAAACCACGAACAAAATAGCAAACTGCTGACGTCATTATGTTGGAAGCAGCGCAGGCAAACATCCAGGAAGAATAAGCTTAATTGTTCCTATCAAATAAATATCAACATTCATCTCACACAATCAGGGCAAAGACTTTCAGAGCGACAAATACAAGGTGCATATAAATCCTCCGTTTTAAAGGAAATAATATAGTTATTTTTACAGATATTGCTAGCAAGCCATGATTGAGGTAAAGCACCACAATGTACAACAAGATTATATAACTTCGGGTATACAGGCATCATTACCTTGACACTCGTCCTAATGTAATCAGTGAATATTCCATCAAGTCCACAAGCTTTGTTATAACGTATCCTGTTATGCTGAGGTTATGTCATCTTCACAAATAAGCCAATCTAACCTTTTGACTGAAACAAATGTAGGCTTACATTCTCTTCTTTATAATCATTTGATTCTGTAAAATAGTCCTACAATTGTTCGACAGGAACTAAGTTGTTTACACAGATGTTCAACAAAACACATGTCCAGATGCAGGATGAAGATATCACTCTTCTCAGACTTTGTTGCTTCGCTTTCTTCCGTGGAGGTAACTGTCAACGTCGTGTTCGCGTCCAGTTCTCTCAGTATCATTAATGACACACATAAATGAAAACCGTAAAGTGACCAATGAATATCAGATAATGCGAGATCAAACCCATGTGCCGTAAAACCTATACAAAGGGAAACAGCTCTGCTCTTGCTGAAAGGTAGGCTTCAATGTTGTACATGTTAGGGTCCCAATGTTCTTGTCTTCGTCTACTCGTCCATTGGCTGTATATAGACCGGTAGTTTTACATATAACTAACAGTTTATGTTTATAAGAACTGGCTGTATATATACCAGTAGCTTTACATATAACTAACAGTTTATGTTTATAAGAACTGGCTGTATATAGACCGGTAGTTTTACATATAACTAACAGTTTATGTTTATAAGAACTGGCCGTGGTGTCCCTTGAATACCGGTCTACACCCACATTCAACTTGATTCAAATACCGTGATCCCTTCAAGTTTATCCTCTGTATATGGACCAGAAGTTTACATATATCTGACAGTTTATGTTTATAAGAACTGGCTGTGTACAGACCGGTAGTTTTACATATATCTGACAGTTTATATCTATAAGAATTGGCTGTAGTGTCCCTTGAATACCTGTCTACACCCACATTCAACTTGATTCAAATACCGACATCCCTTCAAGTTTATCCTCTGTATATGGACCAGAAGTTTACATATATCTGACAGTTTATATTTATAAGAATTGGCCATTGAAATCCTGTCTATACCCACGTCCAACTGAATTCAAATTCCGTGATCCCTTCACGTTAATCCTCTGTGTATAGAAACATGAGCAGTTTACTTGCTTATTAGGGTGATTGAATGAAATCAGATTCACCACAGCGTCACAGCAAGGCACACCTGATACACTCCCTATGACGGGAGACTGAATATCAAGCCAGGTATCTGTCCCCTAGTTGTTGATGTGTCTGTAGTTGACATTGGAGAGTCTGTAAATGTGAACTGTACTCCATCTACTGTTACTGTATCCTTTCCTCCCACACCACAGATGGTGTGAGGTCCCTCCATGTTCACACACAGAGTATAGGTCGCACCTGCTGTGAGGGACAGATATCTCGGAAACAGGACGTCATTCAAAATCTTCCTGCCATTAAGCGTCATCCTGGTGTTCTGGAACAGTTCATCAATCAGCACGTTATTGGCGTCAAACACTCTGATTGTCAGTTTATATGTATCATCATGTCTACTATACAGTTGACAACCTTGTAGGAAAATGCTCTGATTAGGTGAGAAGGCGATAGCATTATCCCCATTAGCCGACATCGAAAAGGTACTCAAAGAGGAAAACCTATTGACTATTGCACAGGATGCCTTCCGTTGCCCGTGAATAATACTGTCAGCCTTTCTATGTGAATGTTTAAACGGAGATATGTCAACATTTGAGTCCATAGCTCTGTCCATTATTCGTAATCTCTCATCCCCTGTCAGCACACCTGATCTCCCTACAACCTTCACCAGATACTCCTGGGGGATGCTGGTAAACCGGATCTCATACCTCATATCTCCCATGAGTCTCCGTATGTTCTCAGGCGTGTCACTCCCACCTTCCTTCTGGCATCTTTCCTTTGTCCAGGACAGCACAGCTTCAAATACGTCTTCCTCTTTCAATCTCAAATTGTCTGACCTGACAAACTGATCCATACAATCAGGGCAAAGCTTCACAAACCCCAGAGACTTGGCAACTCTGTTCCCTCCTTGTGTAAGAAGCTTCAACGCCTTCTGTTTCAGGTCCAGCTCCCCGTAACCATGACACTCCTCCAGGATCTGGCAGACATTGTCTTCTGACAGGGATTGTTCCAGGAACGTTACACACAGATTGAACAATGCGTCTTGAGAGTATTTCCTAGAGGTGTACATTAGTCCTGTGACTGTTTCAGCATTGATAGTGGCCTTGTCTGTGTAAACATACCTACAATAATATATTGGAACAATGTTGAGATTGCTTAAAACAAAGGTTTCGTGAGATTTATCAGCTAGGTCAAATCCAAATAGCACAATCATGTTGGGTTGTCTGTTGTAAATGTTCACTTGTTCAGACATGTATAGTTGTAGTTACTTGTAGAAGTTAACCCATGTAATATTCCTTCTTCTCACTTTTCAGGTCAGCATCATATACAACAAATAGAGCTATGCTTCCCCGCAGAACTATCTGATGAAAGACATGCGGACATAGTATAGAGGAGGAGCCATCTGTCTGCCCAGCGACTTCCAGACATTGGTATAAACTCAGTATTGATTACAAAAGGTGTTATCTTCATTGGATAATGGATGATTTGTAAAACCTCACCTTAAGAACTCTTTGAAGATGTCTGCCTCAATGTCGGTGATGGTTACCTCCCCAGTCTCCGCCAGGGGGCCACAGAACATAGCTTCGAAGACACAGCTGCGACTGACGAGAACGTAGCGGTGAGCTCGGACCACCTGTTTCTCTGACCCCACCAGGAAGGTGACGTCACTTAAGTCTTCCGTGTCGAGCATGCGCAGATTACACTCTGTGACAGTCTTCCCTGACTGCCAGTTGTCGACAGATCCAGATCCTCGGCTTGTATCGGACATCCTATAGCTTGGAACTGACAACACAAGGACACATAGATGATAATCATGAGTTGATGGTTAAAGCACTTGTCATATAAATGTAATGTGTAAAGTGCAGTCTTAAAATTCACATGGCTTAAATCACGTTTGAGTATTGCTAGGCAATAAGTGTTCATTTGATAACCTACACAATCAACTATACTTGACAAGGGCTTTGGTTGCAGTGGCCTTAGTGTGGGAGACATGTTTGCGTATGTTATGGAACTGATCCACGAGTGTGACACTGTAAGATACACCTCACATTGGAATGAATGTAGTAAATAAAAGCCTTATTGCATTCAATGTCTGCGAAATGAGAGTTCTTCTGTCTTTCTGACACCATGGGACCAACTTCAGCCATAGTGTACAGGGACCGCCTCCGTGGTCTAGTGGTAGAGCGTCCGCCCGGAGAGCGGAAGGTCCAGGGTTCGATCCCGGGCCGCGTCATACAAAAAGACGTTAAAAGATTGTACTTGTTGTTACCCTGTCTGGCGCTCGGCATTAAGGGGCTACAACAAGGACTGGTCGGCTCGGAGTCAGTATACTGTGTCTGAGTGGGGTACTCATGTTAAACTGCGGCATGGTATTTCAGTGAGCTAGCACTATAAATCGGCATCAGTCCGGACTAGTACAAGCAGCCAGCCACACACATACACGTGCATGCACGTCGCTATATAAGTGCAATAATCTTGGACGCGACGTTAAACCCAATTTCACCTCACCTCACATAATGTACAGATTCCTGCCACACAGTCCACAGTCTGGATCCTGGTGTTGCTGTACTCGGGCGTGGGACAATGCTACTATTGAGCCCCTACTGACTGAGAAGGCACAGGGACTCTTATGTGGACATTACAGCAAGAAACTAGATTTAATACTTCCCTCAGCCACATTTAGCAGGCTGCCACCAAAGAGAAGAAAAAAGAAGTCTAATACAAAAGACGTGGATTTTGTGTGGCATGTGTGTGTGTGTGTGTGTGTGTGTGTGTGTGTGTAATATGTTGAAGTCATTATAAGTCACCAAGAATAACATCATATTTAATTATTAACAGACACAAAATACCTATTGGCAGGGATATCATTGTATTAGCTGTGAGGACGGGGTGGCAACTACAGGATCTAAAACATAATTGTGGATCTGATTTAACGTCCGGGGATACACGCGTTTTCAGCATTCCCACACGCACGCACACACGTACGCAATAACCAATAAGGGTTGTCGGGTAACTACTTGTAAAATGGAACTAAGAACCTCATGTGTGATATACATCTGAAACAGCAGACACCATGACAATCTGATTACTAGCCAAAATCAAATTTAATATATCGGACATAATTGGCGCTAGTTGACATTCAATTCACTTTGAACCAGCATAGGGTTTCTTCTTAGCTGTCCTGATGTGATCTTGGTAAGCAAAGGGACACAACTCTGTAAGACTAACACTCAACAAAAGCTGTGGTTCATTCACAAAAACACGAGAACGGCCGATCACTGCCGAACACATGCAACTAGGGCTGTTATTGGACGCATAATGGTTCTGAATATAGCGGGAAGATCAACCGCGCCTGCTGCCGAATAGTTCCTCCTAAAGCTGTGTTACATTGTATTGATACGACTGACTTGCTGTTTAGACAGAAGCCGTGACATGTCCCACATATACATGTAAGGTTCATTGTGACCCGTGTCGATATTGTCAGACACTATTTCCTGACGCACATGATACACACGACTTATCAATATGAACAGTTTATATCTTACCTAGGCTGGCTTCAGAGTGTTAACTTTGCAAGGAGATATGTTTGTGCATACATGCTAGCTTTTTCGTGCATGGCCTGGTTGATAAGTAGGACGGAAAGAGTTGCCTCCCTTTGCAACAGCGACCCATCATTGTTCGCCAAACTGTGTGTACAAAAACAGTTGAACCCAGCTTGCTTTCTTAGGACGGACACAGGCTGGTTTTCCTAAGAAATAAAACAAAGAAAATTTTACAGAATATACCAGGAGAATAGTGTGTGTCCTCATGTTTACAAATTAAAATGTTTTGCAGTCCAAGTGACGCGCGCGCGCGCGCGCGCGCGTGTGTGTGTGTGCGCGCGTGTGTCTGTCTGCTCGTACTAGTCCGGACTAATGCCGATTTTATAGTGCTATAAATCATTTAACATGAATAGCCCACTCAGATATAGAGATATGTAAAAATCTTAACTTATTCATCTGTAATGGTACACTGGGACAGGATAAAAATGTAGGTAAAATAACATGTAATGATGTTAGTGTAGTTGACTATGTTATAGCCTCCCCCTTGTGCCTACCTCTGATTACTGACTTAGCCATTTTAGACTTCTCACCCCTGTATTCAGATGTGCACTGCCTAGTGTCTTTTTCTTTAGCCACCACTGTACTCCAAGAACAAACTGCACATGTAGGTATCCAGTCCGAAGTAAATACAGTACACAATACTCATCCCAGACCAAAACGTTATAATATAGATAGAACTAACAGGTTTCTACAACATTTAAATGCTGAAAAGGTAAACATTCTCACTCGGAAAGCACATGTGGCTAGACAAGGCCAAGCTGACCCACATCTGATCAATGACATAACTGAAGAGGCCGGGCACGTGTTGATAGACGCTGCACGCGCTGCCTTCGGGACCCGGAGGCAGGGTATCGGTAAGAAATATAAGATGAACAAACCATGGTTTGGAAAGGAATGTATAAATGCTAGAAACAGTTTTTACAAAGCAAAACGCCGCTTGAAAAGATTTAATTCTATTTATAACAAACGCCTGTTAAAATATGAATCTAAGGCTTATAAGAAATGTATGGATAAGCATATAAAACAATATAAAGATAACTTAGGTAAAATGTTAAGAGAAAAACACAAACACTCCCCAAAAGAGTTTTGGAAAATGTTAAAAGGAGATAAAAAAGATGACAATATTTGTCCTGAAATTGAAGATTTTTACCAGTTTTTTAAGTCACTCAATGAGACAACTTCAGAAGACCCGGAAATGAAGGAATGTACTATGGATACACAATATGACTGTGAAACTTTAAATGGAGATATCACACCTGATGAAGTTATTGTAGCGGCCATAAAATTTCCGAGTCCCGTGATGGGATTCGAACCACGGACCTTCTGATCAGAGGTCGGACGCCTTGTCCACATGACCAAAGAGGTTAACCCCGTCAGCAAGCTGACAAGGTAAGGATGTCATCTGTGGGATGACTCCACGCCCTGCTACATACTCCCCCGTCAACAGAAGGCACGCCCCGGGCCGCATAGTAGGGTACTGAGGCTTATTTTGCTCAAATTTAATATGAACGTGCTCAGCCCCACGTTGGGCGCCAAATTTGTAGCCGGGGTAGTGGTATTTATCCGGCTCGGGCCGTTGGGAAACACAGACACAGGCAGATGGTGATAATGGATTTATTTCAAGGGGGGTGGCTGCTGTTGAAGAACTACCTGAAGAAAAGAAAATGTCCTTCCTCCTCAACAGCAGCACATGAAGTCATATATTTGCAAGTTTACAGGTATTATTTATCTTAAATATAAAAGTACAAAAGCCATTGATAAACTATACTAAAACTAACTTTAATGTTAAATTACTGTTATATGTTCATTATAGGATACTTGGAAAGCACATGGTCCAAAATGGACCATGTGGTTAATTATTTTACAAGCAAGTTTTATAATATCAATATTCCATTTACTAATTTAATATTACTTTAAATGATATTATATATATATTATTCAATTTAATTCAGCACCCTAATATAGATATTAATTTCTGACAGAAGCAGATGAAAACAGATTGAAATATGGCCATTCCATACCTGAAGAAAAGAAAATGTCCTTCCTCCTCAACAGCAGCACATGAAGTGAGGAGGAAGTCAGGTATGGAAGGAAGCTACCTGTAGAGGACCAGGGTGGCCAATTAGAAGACAGATTGCATTAAGCATCAAAGGAAGTGCTTAATGCAAGATATAAATAGACTGAGGGAAACCCTACAGGTGTAAAAAATGTCTAAAGATAGACAGAAGGTTGAAGGGGAAGATCTGGTGAGAGATTCCCAGAGACTGAAAATAAGGGTGTTGAGTTGTTTAAAGAGTTAGATACTGATATTCAACTGTAGACAAGACAAACATTGAACATATAGATGATTATGATGATGATGTATGAATAATGATATAACTATAGGAAGAATATAAGGTACCCTGCTACATTTAAAGTAATATTCCATTTACAACTTTGTTCAGCCTAGGGCAACTTCTACACCTTACCTGAATAGTTACCCATCACAACCTTCACACACACCGCATGAGTCTTGGCCT